TTCCCTTTTGATATGAATGTTATGTAATGCCCTCGTTAGTATCTTTTGAAATTCATAGATAAAATAATCCACATATTGATTTTTTATTTGATAATAATATCCTACCTCTAATATGAAACCAAGATAAAAAATAATTTATAAAAAATAATATGGATTCCCTACGTATATGTTCAAGTACAGCTTTTAGCTATTCTGAAAGTCATATGGAATTGCCTGATGACCACATATAAGGAAAATGAATAAATGTGAGTTTACAGGAAGTAACAGAATAAGTAGTTCTTCTATATAAGAAGCATAAAAATAAAGGAATAAAAAATTTTATTAATTAATTAATTATTATTAATTAAAAATAAAGAACTGTCAAGCATAAGTTCAGTTAGACCCTAGACTAAAGTCCAGAGTTAGGATAAGTAATAAGAGACTAGACATATCTGCCTATGATGAGACAAAGAGGGAAATAACCTTAATTAGAGAAAACATGCCAAGAAAAATAATGGCCTGTGGATGTGAGAAAATGAGCAAAATATGAGATTCTTGCAAATGAGCTAGAATTTATCGTGTAGCATAGCGTCAGAATAATGCTTTATACTATGAAAAACAACCGGGAAGTTACACTATGTAACACAAAATTCATCTTCTGCGTTCAACAAGCTACCACATATTGAAGTATGTATTTAGTCTCTGCTATTTAAAGGAATCTCAGAGGGGAAATCCTGTAATCGGCAGCAGGCGAAAGAGGACAGATTGGCAAAAAAGTTGGGTGCCAGACCTCTTGGGGCAGTATGTTTAAGAGAGAGAATCTGAAAAAAATGCATTTCAATATGTAATTTTCACAGCAAAGATCTCATCATTTTTATACTAGAAAATTAAAAATATATACATAGCTAGCCATCTTAATATCAATTCATAAGCTATAAAAATATTGAATCATCATACACCTGAAACTAACATAAAATTGTGTCAACTATAATTTAATTAAAATAGATGTATATATAGAACAGCAATAAAAATATTTTCAAAGCACTTAATGCACCTTACTGACCTCACTGTTTCAGATGTCTGCTAATTTATACTTTGTGTCTGAGTCTGTCCATAAGAGTCCCAAACTGTCTCTGTTACTACATATGTTCATATGTGCACCTATAAACAAAGAATGACCCAGGATGTTTTACTAGTAGCTTAAATGCCAGGAGCAGCATGCTGTGGGTATGTACTTTTAGAAGACTCTGGGAGAATCTGAAAGAAACAAAACACAATCTTTTCTTAGTTTACACCACTAGTTACATTTCTCTATAATTCCATGCATAAGATACTAAATCTTTAATCTTTTTTTGGCTCTTATTTGCCGAAGTAAAAACTAAGCTTTTGCACCGAAGCCCTTTAAAATCAAATAGGTAATTGAAAATTCATGATATACTAAACAGACACTCTGGGCAGAAAAAGTAAATCATTGAGTAACTTTTAAATAACATCTTAATCACATTTAAGTGTCCTTCTTCATGACAACTTTCTTCAAAATTATTTTGCTTAACCTTAAATTGTTTTTCCAACATTAATTGCATGGTAAAGCACTTGTAATCATTATTTATAGTGAATTTATCCTGGCGAGAAAATTAGAAATTAAAGTGGAATATGGGACATGGGACAGTTTTCTCTTTGGAACTTCCTGGATCATTGCAGGACATCTAGAATTTCTGAGCCCTACCCACAGAAGTTTGGTTAACTCCCTCCATTGTGACTATTGGAAACATTTTTGCAAGTTTCTGAGCATCCTCTAGGGGGCGGTACTGCT